AAGCTGGATTTAGTATGTTGATACCTGAACTTAGCACAAGAGCTAAGCTGGATTTAGTATGTTAATACCTGAACTTAGCACAAGAGCTAAGCTGGATTTAGTATGTTAATATCTGAACTTAGCACAAGTTCTAAGCTGGATTTAGTATGTTAATACCTGAACTTAGCACAAGAGCTAAGCTTGATTTAGTATGTTAATACCTGAACTTAGTACAAGTCCTGAGCTGGATTTAGTATGTTAGTACCTGAACTTACCACAAGTTCTAAGCTGGATTTAGTATGTTAATACCTGAACTTAGCACAAGTTCTAAGCTGGATTTAGTATGTTGATACCTGAACTTAGCACAAGTTCTAAGCTGGATTTAGTATGTTGATACCTGAACTTAGCACAAGTTCTAAGCTGTATTTAGTATGTTGATACCTGAACTTAGTACAAGAGCTAAGCTGGATTTAGTATCTTAATACCTGAACTTAGCACAAGTTCTAAGCTGGATTTAGTATCTTAATACCTGAACTTAGGCCTAGAGCTAAGCTGGATTTAATATGTTAATACCTGAACTGTGGTTTTCTTATAATTGGATCCTAGTATTCTGGTTTGTGATATGAATAACTTTGGTTTCTTATAATTGGATCCTAGTATTCTGGTTTGTGATATGAAGACCTGTGGTTTTCAAATTCATCGACACCTAAGTTACAAATACTCTAAAGTTAACTTCCAATTAAATCGAGATTACAACAAAAATAGGTGTATCGTCTTCCTATAACTGGGGTAAATAAGGATGTTCAGTCCTAAAACACTAGTTTAAAACTATGGTATTATAGTTGTTTTGTAGTGAAGCTGTATCTGATGCCTGCTAACATTGGGGACTTTTATGTTTTAATTAAATAACTCCCACATTTTGGTTAGAAACATGTTTTTAGACAGCGTTTTTCATCTGTGACAAAGAACAGGTTTAGAATGTCTTTGGAAAGTAGATACGTTACTTTTATATATGACTAATTAATTCATGCTAAAATTAACAAAAATGCAGTAAAACGGTAAAAACTACAAACCTTATATGAAAAAAATTAAAACAACTAAAAGCCATTTAATTTATAATACTGAAGCCAACTATAACGAAATCCATATGTCTGAATATCAAAATTTCTACAGTTTAAACTTTAAAATTTATATGCTCTACATCCACAGATTCCATAAATAACTGAAAAATTAAATATTTGAAAACTGTAGATCAATTATGACTGAATTCCAAATATTTTATGATATTGAAGATCAAAGACTGTAACAAAATATGTGATGTAAATTATGAAACTTCAATTATAAGAAGACCACAGTTCTTCGTATCACAAACCAGAATACTAGGATCCAATTATATATAATAACTTTGGATGTTATTCAGCCATCTATAACATCCAAAGTTATTATATCAGTCATCTATAACATCCAAAGTTATTATACCAGTCATCTATATCGTCCAAAGTTATTATATCAGCCATCTATAACATCCAAAGTTATTATACCAGTCATCTATAACATCCAAAGTTATTATATCAATCATCCATAACATCCAAAGTTATTATACCAGTCATCTATATCGTCCAAAGTTATTATATCAGCCATCTATAACATCCAAAGTTATTAAATCAGTCATCTATAACATTCAAATGTTTAAACAACTCTACTTATTCAATTATGTACAAGCTGCCCAGTGTTGGCTAACAATACGAAGAATTAAATTGTGGCGGATTGATACAAGTTCTTCAAATACCTATAGAATGATAGGTTTATTTTTGGTGAGTGTAAAACACCTAAATACACCAGTTTGATTTTCAATTCTATCAGTCTGTATTGGACTAACGTATATAAGTTACGAAAATACATTACAGTTCAGAAGAAGCTTTTATTACTGAAGAACACGCATTTTGTAACATGGTACAATTTTATTAGACGTGAACTCGTTTATTCGGGATGAAAGTGTCACACAGGCATTCATATTATCCGGATTTATATATAGGAAGCGGTGATACAACCCTAGAGTTATTAGATAGTAGTAAGCTCTGTCTTGGCTACAACCCTCGAAATTCACGGTGGTAAATATTGTATGTAACAAAAAAGTTAGTTTTTTGTTGTTGTTGAAGTCGTCATTTTCGATATCTGCAGTAGTTTGTTTGACAATGGGCTATCTGTACTCTGCCCACCACGGGTATCGAAACCCGGTTTCTAGCATTATAAGTCATTGTAAGACATACCGCTGTGCCACTGGTGGGCTTCTGCAGTAGCACTGCCATCTGCGGAATTATCGGATTTAAGAGATTAAACTCAGTTGAACAACCTATAGATAATCGGTTGAACAACTTATAGATCCTGAGATCTAATAATTCAACTTTTCTTTTATAATGTTCCTCGCAGTAAGCAAGATAAAAAGCCCACAGCAGAATCATTTCTAAGGAGAGCCGTTCAGCTCGAGCCAGATTTTGCCGAAGCCTACTCGTCTTTAGCTTCTCTTTATGCTCAAACTGGAAGATCCAAAGAAGCGGAAGAACTACACTTAACAGCATTACGTCTAAGTCCGGATAACGTGGATGCCCTGAACAACTATGGAGTTTTTCTTCAAAGTTTAGGTGGGTCTCAGCAAAAAAAAAAAAAAAATTAAGCAGAGTAAAGGTTAGAATTTAATATACAACTAAGTGAACAAACATCACTACTAAATACGTTGTCACTTGTATCCATGTCTATAATTGAATACCCGCACATTCTCGCATTTGTTTTCCAATGTAAAATATATATCTATGTAAGTAATTCCCAGAATAAGCAGAACTATCTTAAGTAGGTTGAAAAGTTGATTCATAGCATTCATTTTATTTATTCATTAACTACATATGTAATGTTGTCCAAAAGTTACGTAATGAGCGCAAAAGATTACATTTTTCGAAAACTCCTTAAAAGAATGTTAAGAAAATCTGGTAGAGGTGAACTGTTTTTAGACGACGCATGAATACACATAGAAAGAAAAAAACAATTAGTGGATCTGTTTTTGATTAGTTATACCCATGAAACAAATAACCACCCAAAACGAACATCAAAGTTGATTAGCAGAACGTACCTAACAAAGGACGTGGTCACTCCTTGCAACAATAAAAGTTTCACAGCATCTTCTCATGTTCCACATGAGGTTATCCAACTAGCTGAAACAAAACAAATTTCGCTGTTGTGCGAGGGAACATCCAATCTCGTGGAGGGTTCTTGAAAGTGGTTGACAACTGAAAATACGTCTATGTAGAGCATGGTGGGCATACTCTATGGTGATCAGATTCGTTAGCCACTGAATATCGGTGAGATCTTCACTTTCAAAGTATTGGTCCAACAGTTGTGGACGTGCGTTATTAAAATTAAATCAGGACCAACATCAGCTCTGGAAATATGAATATGCTGTTGGAGAATCTAATCTCTGTATTGCAGACCAGTCAAAGACCCGCTTTACAAGAAGTGGAGGTTTGTGTGGCCTAGACTGAGACATCAACACTTTTATAATGATCCCTTTTCTTGGTGTTGGAGGAATGACATCGAGTTCATCGCTCCCTGAATATCAATCTTCGTCGAGAATCAGTCTACAGGCAGAATTATGACTCATCGTTGACGAGAACCAATATTCTTTAACCTGTTACAAGTGTTAGGACCCGTTTCTGGGGGACACAAATTACTGGATGTCTGGCACACTGCAACAATATTCTTGATCCTATTCCAAGTGTTAGGACCCGTTTCTGGGGACACAAATTACTGGATCTCTGTCACATTGCAACAATATTATTGATCCTATTCCACTTGTCAGGACCAGTCTCCGTGGGACACAAATTACTGAACGTCTGGCACATTGCCACAATATTCTTGATCCTATTCCAAGTGTTAGGACCTGTCTCTGGGGGACACAAATTACTGGATCTCTGTCACATTGCAACAATATTATTGATCCTATTCCAATTGTTAGGACCAGTCTCCGTGGGACACAAATTACTGAACGTCTGGCACATTGCCACAATATTCTTAATCCTATTCCAAGTGTTAGGACCTGTCTCTGGGGGCACAAATTACTGGATCTCTGGCACATTGCCAGAATATTCTTGATCCTATTCCAAGTGTTAGTACCTGTCTCTGGGAGACACAACTTACTGGACGTCTGGCATATTGCAACAATATTTTGGATCCTATTCTTGGGAATGCAAATTACTGGACGTTTGGCATACAGATCCTTCTCGTGAAGCCTTCTGTCTACGGTCTTTCTCGATAAAGACTGTCCTGTAGGTGCGAATAGGTGTAAAGTCTCTGTGGTGTTTGGCAATTAGAGCCAAATAACGATAGTCTTGAGATGATACATCTCTAGGACGGCCTTGGACATATCTCCGGGCAACATATCTTGTTTCCTCTTATTGTCTCCAGAGCCTGGATACCACACTTCTGGAAATGTTTATGTTTCTTCCAACTTCCACTTGTCTTCGCCCATCTTTCATTTATCCTATCATCTCAGACCATCATCCAAACGTCAGACCATCATCCAAACGGTGTCTTTTTGACATTTCTCGACATAAATGTCTACCAGATAATCTGATAGCGAACAAAGAAAATAAGGGGAGCGTTGTTTGCAAATTATGGAGAAATCACAAGTTTTGACATCTATTGATTAAAACTTAGTAGTAACTTAGTTTTTATTAAACTCTGTTGATTTAAATACTTTAGTGCTCAGAAAACAGTTTGTTCACTAGATTTTGTTGGACACTAGTGCACATACAGGTTATTTGTGGTGAATAAGATACAGGTAAACAGTTCATGAGATCTTGTCTTTTTCTTCAATTTACCCTGGACCAGGGTCACCGAAATTAGTCTAATTCGGTGACAGGGGTCGTAAGTCCAAATATTGACTAAGTCTTGCGTTTCATTTTTGGCTGAAATTCAAAATTTTGATAATGATACAAAATTATATTTTCTTGAACGAGAAGCACTTTAAGATGAATGTATTGGTAGCGTAAACATTATTCTTGAAATATCTGGATAAAAAATTTAGTTACATATAGTGAGTAAAGGACAACTTAAAAACGTATACATGACCTAGACTTTAATAAACTTTATAAAATTCGTTACACAACAACAAATGACAGAGTCCAAAGCCTAGCCGGTAGTAAAAAGTTTGTTCTATACTTTACTCACTAGGGAAAAAAATCCCTAAAATATCACACTCATGAAATCCTATCGATAGTAAAATAAAATTAACCTTGGCATTACTAAAAGATTTAAAAAAATTCTAGGCATTAACAATGCTACATAATCCAAATAGCCATCCAGTATTTTGAAAATTAATTCCAATTATTTTATTGAAAAATTTAGATATTTTAAATAAATAAATAAGATCGATTTAAATTTTAGTCCTAAG